TAGTTTCAACAGTTGAGAATAATTCGACTGAAGAACTGGCTTGACTGTTTAAAGTGCAATTCGAGCTTGTGGGAAAACAAGCTGTTCGAGTGCAAGCGTTTAAACCCAAAACATCATTAGCAAGTCTTTATTTTTCTGTAATCAGAAGCTGTGTGGTCTGGGATTCTCACAAGCAGGTTTGCATATGTGAAACCAGTTTCATCATTTTTAAATTGTAAATATTGTTTTGTTATGCTCTCAAAAAAGACAATTAGTTGTCTATGAATGTCCACTTGCCCTTTCTTTTCTTGATAAAAATGAAAAACTCTAATTCATTAACATTCAAAATTATAGCTACAAGACATAAACAATGAGTTCAGCATTAAAAATGCAGCAAACCCTAAATCTCTAAAACAGCTTTAAAAATGTATTTAAACGACTTTACAGTTGTTTTACTGAAAAAAAAAGAAATGAATGCAAGTGCTTTTATAAAATCATTAGCTTCACATTTCCTTAATTGTTGACTTTTATTGTAAGTGCCCGAAAATAACATTGAATTAATAGTTGTTTTTGTCTCCCAGGTCGTCTTAGTAAAGTACACAAGGACAAAGAGAGAGAAAAAGAGCGGGAACAGCAGAGGGAACGAGAGCAGAAGTTAAACGGCAAAGATGAGAGGGGAAAGACAGATCGAGATCGAGACAGAGAGAAAGATCAGAAGAAAAGGAAACACCGAGAGTCAAGTGCAGACAGGTAAGACAGGCACTCAACAACACCATGTTTCGCATGTATAATATTGAATCTATATTTATGTGTTTGAACTTCCTGTTCCTGCCAGAGAGAAGCCTCCCCCGGCTAAAGAGTCGCGTCCCTCTCCACCGGCCCCTTCATGGCTCCAACGGGACCTCCGTGTGCGATTCATAGATAAAGCGTTCAAAGGAGGAAAATACTACAACTCTAAGGTACTGATTAGGTTTTCTGATTATCCATAATTAAGATATTATGAAGCCATAAGATAGTAGTATAAATTGAAGTACATATTTTTGTTTGTTTAGATGAGAGTCGAGGATGTCCTGACTCCCCACACCTGTGTGTGTCGTACAGAGGACAACAGGCTGCTGGACGGTACGACACACTTTCACCTTGACCATTGTAAGAGGCATTTTAACAGTGAGACTTTGGCCTAATAACATCATTCGTCTGTTTCAGATATTAGACAAAAAATGCTGGAGACCATTGTACCCAAGAACGACTCGGACTTCATTATGGTGGTTATGGGAGAACACCGAGGACAGGTATATGGATTCACTTGTTTGCTCTGTTTTTCGAATCCTAGTGGGCCGCCTACTTAGACAGCATTATAGGCGTCATACACTTCTGGACTTCATCAAGGTGTTGCACACAGACTAATGTTGATATTAGCCAGTGGTGTTATGAAATAAAACTATTCAAATCATTTTCATTAATTGAACTAAAGCAACAATTAAAAATAAATTTCACGTGAAATAGCTAAACTTAATCAAATAAAAATTAGACATGTTGCCGTGGCAAGTTATTTAAATAAAATAGGTTGAAAATGCCAAAAACTAAAATAAAAATCTAAATAAATAAACACAAAAATATAAAAACCAAAGCTAATTCAAAATATGAATAAATAATATAACCGTATATAAATAATACTAAAATAGCTGTGCTTATACCTCATTTGGTCCAAAGGCAGACTGAGTGGCATTTAACCTTCACAGATTAGGCAATCCCAGAATGCACTGCAAGATCGATTTTATTTTAGTTTTATTCACTACTAAAAAAATTAGTTAAAATTGGTAACCTAATTAAAATAAAATATTTGTGCATACCAATTTGGGCCGTGAAACGATTAATCGTGATTAGTCGCATCCAAAATAAAAGTTTGTTTACATCATGTGTGTGTGCACTGTGTATAATTATTTGTATATATAAACACACATCCATGTACAGTATATACTTAAGAAATATTTGCATATATATACTGTATATAATTTTATATTATAAATAAATTACACATTTTTCTTATATATATATATATATATATATACAGTATATATATATATATATATATATATATATATTATGTAATGTAATATATTATGTTTCACAGCCCTATTATATTTTTTGTCCTTAGTGTTGTCATTAGCTGTAATAATTCTAATTTGCATTTACTTCTACCCATATATGAAGAAGTGCATTCTGCTGAATGATAATGGGTCATCTTGCAGGTGGGCCGCATCCTGAAGCGAGACCGGGAGAAGTGTCGAGCCATGGTTCAGCTGGACCGGTACGAGGAGCAGCTGTTCACTCTCGACTACGACGCCATCTGTCATTATGTGGGCGGAACAGAGCACTGAGAAACCAATCGGATGATGCGACGCACCTTTCATCATCCCAAACCCTGTTTTGATTGACTTCTGTTAATTCATAGTGACCAACATGTCAGATACATTACATTTTTATTACAACCAAGACTTAATTTATTTTACTAGCTGTGTTGTATTTTAAAACGCATCTGAATGATAAGACACGTGATCTTAAAGCAACATAATATCTTGTTAGTAAGAGTCTGTTGTTACAAAAAAAATATTTTGCATATTTTGTGTTGTGCTTAGAAATGTGAGTGGGATCAATGACAAAAAGTGACATTTTCCTCTCTGTATAGTGATAATGAACATTTATGCAGGTCAGCCATTGTAGCATCAGTGTTTGAGTGTCTGCTGCTGACCTGGGAAGAACATGACATTTCATTATGGCCCAGTGTAATTAAATATCTCACTGCCATTTAATTAGAATCCAAAAACTTTTGAAACTCTGCATGGTTTCTTAGTCCAGTAAAGATCTGAATTTATTAAAAGGTTAAGAGTTTGTACAGACTTATACACAAGCCACTTAGAATTTTCACTCATGTTATCTTTTTTATAATAAAATATTAAAACTCCTTCAAAATGTCTTTGAAATGATATCTTGGTGTATAACATCAATCATTCTTTACTCTATAAAGCATACGGCATCATATTTGATGCATACATTTCTAAAACCTTGACATTATCAACATGATTAACTTTCCTGACAAACCTGTTGTTTTTTTAAAGGCCTTTTAATTTAGCAGATTTTTATACAAGTAAATGTAAGAAAAACCTTTGTCATTAATATTTCAAGATACATTTGCAAATTGGGTTTACTTAATTATCTATACATAATATTTTTGAAAAATCCTGTTAAAACGCAAGAATTAAATGTACATCAGGCTTTTGAGGAACTTTTACTTTTATTAAATCTTTCAATCATTATTGTATTGCTTTGCGTGATTTGCCTCCACAATAGAAACTGCAGAGCTTTGATCATAAAAGCTAAACTAAAGTTGAATTAAACTTAATTTATACATCATCTTACTTGGACAGTATTAGGAGATATACCCCCAGTTTCACATACAAGACTGAATCTAAGTTCTGTCTATAGAGTGACAACTGATATTTATATATGCATTTTATGTAAGTACTCTAATGAAAATCTCACTGATATGCATTATAAGAATCAGAATATCATCTCACTTTTTGGCCATATAAATAACATAATCTGAACCAAATTGCATATTTCTGCTCAGTATGGGCCTCTGAATAAAATATATTTTTTTCCTCGAGTGAGCTCCACGTTTCAATGTGGGCCATGATGCAACTGATGCACCAAATATGTTATAAAACATCAGGTGCAAACTGTTTTAATCTTCATTATTATATATTATTATATTATACTGTAAATATCTTTATTCCTGACCAGCCATAATTATCCGTTATTTCATATGTTGTCAAGATTAAAGAATACCGAAAAAAAAAAATGTTGTTGTTTTTTTTTTATATTAAATATCATCTTGGTTTAATATCACTACTTCAGCTTTTCTTTCTGTATGCCGATGTTTTCACTTGTTTTTTGTCGATCATCCTGTCGTCGCTCCAGACCTTTTCTGCTGCTTCATCCATACAGACACTGATTCTGCCATTGTCTTTTTCGCATCAGCAAATGATATTACGCTATCATTTCAACATGGCTAAATCATAGGCTGTAAACAATACACTTGAGAGGGTGACTCGAAGTAGAAAACTAAAAAAAAATATTTTAGTTGACGTTATTTTTTTTCCCAGTACACATATCTAAATATTATTAGTCCCCCTGTAGTCTATTGTATCTTTGATCAACAAAATTACATAATAAAAAAAAATAAAATTCTTCAAGCCTTAAAATAGCTTGAATATAACTACACCTTGAATACCATATACCTTGATTATAACTACAATTATTTATTTTTTAATTGCTCAAGCCTTACAATGGCTTGAATATAACTACACATTGAATACCATATACCTTGATTATAACTACAATTATTTATTTATTTTTTTAATTGCTCAAGCCTTAAAATGGCTTGAATATAACGACACCCTTGCCTCATTTAGTAAGCAGGCCAATGAATATGCAAATTAGCCCCACCTCCACTCACTCACACCAGCTGAAGGATCCACTTGTTGATGTGATTAGTTACTGGGTAGTTTATGACGTCAGAAACACCAGCGATTCAAACCAGTTTGGTTCACTGCAAATACTCAGCAATGTTGCTGCTTATGAATTTGCACATGGTTTGTCTTCAAGTAAATTAAAAACACCACATTGACATTTAAACAACACTAAAAGCTTCATTTTCACCACTGGGGGCTTTAAATCAAGATACATAAAAAAATAAGTAAAATAGCTTAATATGTTAAGTGTTCTTGTTTTCAGATTTTTTTTTTTAAATCATCTATTCAAAATAAAACTTAATTCAAGGGAAAACAAGATTATTTTTCTTACATCACTGACATATTTTGTGTTTTCTTGCTTTAAGCATGAACTCAATTACGTTTCCCCTCTCCAATTCAAGACTTTATAACTTATTCAAGACTATATACCTTATTTAATCTCTTTTAATGTGTAAATCATTTCAAATGAGCACTAAACCACCTGACGCACCTTCAAACAAAATGTTTATTTTGCAGGGAATGGCATCACTATGTTATGTAAAATGACAATTGTTTATAAAATGCATAACATACAACACATGGTATATTTACAAATGAATCTGTCCTAAATGTAAGAAAAGAAATTACAAAAGCCTTCTAACAGTCATAAAGGCTTTAAAGACCGTGTTCCTGCTCAGTCATCATCAGAATCATCGTCCTCCTCCAGGCGTCTCGTGTTCTCAGCGTTGGCTCTCAGGACGGCTCCAGGACTGGGGTACGGTCTCTGCTGGAACAGGGGTCCTGCCGCCGTGGTGTCCGCTCCTGTCTTCGCCTCATTGCGTTTGGGGAGACCGGTGGACCATAAGCCCCTAAAAGCGACAGCACAGTATATCGATCAGGAACATGTTCTTTATTACAGAAACAACCTATTTGTAGATCTTACATTAACAAATTTGAACTGCATTGTTAATGTTAATGCATTAAACATTTCAGTAAATTTTGTTATTATACAATGTACATTCATAAAAATGGAATTTACTGTATAAAGCGGATTTAAGGAATTTGAATGAACTTCATTTCCAGAGTTACTCTGAGTCAACTTCATGAGCATTTCCATTTCATAAAAACTACCATCAAATACACACAGAAACCTAAATGTCTTCTGGACAATTTGAAATAAAACATGAAGAAATAGTGACAGTAATACTAGAGTAAAATGTACTTCTCAAAAGTAATAACAATAATATTACATTAATACAACATTATTTTTTGAGGAATATCACATCATTTTTCTTCAATGTTTGCATTATACCATTAAATCTTAGTTCTCCAACACGCAAAATCCCAAAATGAAAGCAAATGTTCAAATTTACAATTTAAACAATAAGGTAAGTTGTTAAAGTGTTATGCATCAGTTTGATTACCACCATTTGTGGTAATATATTTGATTTCATTTTTCTAGATTCCTTGTTTTATGATTTAATACTAACAATGACTTTCTAAAAAATGAATGAAAAACGAATTCAATGGACTGACTCAACATCCTTTTTGATTCAACCATTAAAACGAAGTCCAGAAAATTTAAATGGACCACAAAGCATTTAGGAGAAAATAAAACATGAAACTAAACAGAAAACTTCAGGCCACAGAGTTAGTAAGAGGTATTATCCCATTTCAAACACAGCCATAGTGTTCATTTTAAACCAGCTGCTCATTACCTTGGAGCATCCGAATAGGCGCTGGGATCCATGGGATCCATTTCCTCCTGCTGCTGTTTCCGCCCTCCTCCCAGTCCTCCTAAAAAGTTTACATTTATTCAAGCTTACTGTAGAAATACTTTTAATTATGGATTAAATATCTAATTAGGCAGATTATGCATAAATTACCTCTCTTTGATTTGTTGTACGGTGCACTGTCGTCTCTCCGCATCCTTCTGTCACGGTCCCGGTCTCTGTCCCGGTCTCGATCTCTATCCCTATCTCGGTCTCTATCTCTGTCCCGTCCGTCCTCCCTTTCTCTGTCCCGCTCCCGCTCTCGCTCCCTTTCTCGCTCTCGTTCCCTTTCTCTCTCTGCCTTCTCATAGTGGATGTCCACTTTATCATGTCCAGTATCGCCTAGGAAGTAAAACGCAAACATTTTCAGCATGTCTCAATCACAAAAGCATTGTGTACTTATGCGTGTCCATCCCTGCATCCCAATGTCCATAATATCCATCCTAAATAGTAAGTGAGATTAGATTAAGTGTGTCCTAAAACATAGTATGTCAAAATTTGCAAAGTAAGTGTGGATGTATGCACACTCTTAAGGCGTTTGTTGCCCACACAACCCATTACACTTTGAAGAAGGATTCGGTTCAGCTACAAACACGAGTAAAAAGTGTTAAAAAAAAACTACAAAACATGATGGATATATGATGGATTTTAACTGTGACAAGATGATTGACAGACAAATTTACAGTGTCAGGATGCGACAGAGAGCAACCATTAAAGACACAAATGTATGACGGGATAGTATGTCCCAAATCGTATCTACCCATTTGCTTTTTTCTTCACAAAAGGAGTACATACTTTTAGGGCGTAGTGTATAAATAGGTGAATTGGGACGCAGAATGTGTCTTACCTTTCTGTTTCTTAACTCCCTTGGTGATGACAGCAGAAGGGTCATTAGGAGATAGCCAGGACACTAAATCTGTCTCCACATTCCAGTAGTATGGAAGACCGCTAAAGACAAAAAAAGTGGATGATAATTGTGTATATGCAATGGTTAAAAAAAGTTTAAATCTGTAATTTTGGACATGTATTACCCTGCTATTCTTGTATGTAACTTCAAGAATCATGAATATGGTAACTGTTCATTAGCAAAGTAAAAGATGATATTTCCATCTCTCTGATAATCTGTGTTGCGCAGTAGAGTCATAGTATTCTTGTAGTTACGTTAAAAAAATAATGTCTTGAATTCTTACCGCTGACCAGAGAAAAAGCAAAGCTTGTGAAATGCTTACCAAGAGGGGTCAAAAACTTTGTACCAATTCGTTGGCAAATTTTCAAGCCTTGTAGCCTCATAATCGACGTTGTTATCATCATAGTCTTCAGCGATGATCTCCTCTTCGGCCTCTGATGATGATGATGAGAAACAATAAATGAGTCCATGAACTCATCATTCAGTATGTTATATAGATTACCCAGCAAGATAAATATGCATGATGTAACTTATCTTACCTTGGTCAGAATGTTTCACGATCCCTCTTTTAGCGAGGCGTGCAAGTAAAGCTGGAGGCAGAGGCATCTAAAGACAGCAAATCATTTCAGTGATCACTGTCGACGAGCCACGAGTAACGTTAAACTGCAACTATCTAACGTTAAATATAGGATAACACAGACGCTGTTTTTGTAGCCAAATAATGGACAGAACACTGGGCATGCAATTTAAACAAGAACTACATGATGGTGAGTGCATAATTTACCTTTATGATGTCCAAAATGTTAGTTATGTAGTAAACGTTTCATTGAAAGGAGCCAAACAAGCGACGCGGACGCGGAACAATGACGTGACAAAAACGTACCGTGACGTCATCTAAAGGAAGCCAGAGCCCGTCTAAACGGAGAGCCTTTTAGCCCATTGTGTATCATTTTGGTTGCAGTTCCATTAGAATTCCACTGGAGGTGATCGCGGGCGAGTGCAGAATGAATGGGAGTCTATGGGGCTAAACGGCTAAATGCGTCTCTTTCACCTGCTTGTGGTTAAATCAACATAGATTTTATTGTTGATTCCGCAAGTTCAATATAGATTATAAGACAAAAGTCGAATGAACGAGTACTTATGTCCTTTTGATTTCTTACAGGTTAGGCTGTTGTTGGCCGGAACACGCTAGCATTCTGCTATTGTATGACGTCATCACATTTTTGAACGGATTTTTAGAACAGATAAGTCAACTTAAAAATGCAATTTTCAGCTGAGTGTATTTTCTTACCCCTACCTTTTGAATGCCACTTTCAAATTGACAAAAAAAATACATCCTGAGAAAAGTGGATTTCTGGGGGTAAAACCATAGATATCATGTCTTACAGTCTATGGTAAAACCTCGACCGCGAGCGCACCCGCATGGACAGAGACTCGTTACTGCAGCCAGTCCAGAACCCGGAAGTAACCAGCTAGTGCAAATTCTCTTCAATTAGACAATTCTCTGAGGAAGAAATCCGCGTTAGCAGCCTAATGAGTAAAATGTCTATTTTTCCGGCGTCCCCCAGCTCCTCGTTTAAGCAAAAGGTACGCTAAAACAACGTATTACATCGACGTTAAACCACGTTAACCGTGTTAACCATAACCTTTTAAATACTCGACCTAGTTCCATTGCTTAGCAACGGGAAGAAACTCCTGTAACTTCAGTGCCCATACTAACCCGTATCACGACAAGACGTGAAATAATCACGTTGGTCCACTTTGGAAAACGTGTAGATGTCACGGTTTAGTTTAACCCTTTCATGCATAGTGGTCACTACAGTGGACAGCTATTTAAAAAGCATTTTCTTGAATTTGCAAGGGTTTTGATGGGAAAGTTGCACATCAATCTCTTCAGTGGACCCTGGTGCATCATCCTATGCATTGCAACAAAGTTATAAGCCATTGAGTTTTGATTTTTTCCCCCTCAAAACCAAAGATGGCCAATGGCCAGTCAGACATGCCAAGGTGCTCCGGAATATCCACCCATTCCTTCTATTCTAGGACACTCTTGTAGGTAAAAAAAATATTGCAGCATCAAGCAGTATCTAATGAGTCATATTACAGTAAAATTTTCCAAGTTTTGATTTTAGATTGGGAGAAAAATCAGATAAATCACCCGTCCACTATAGTGGACCTCATGCATCAATGGCTATATTTTAGCTACAATTTACTTATACTGTGAATATTGTTTTTGAAAATACTTAATCTGCAGTAACTTTTTTTGACTGTAAATAAAGTTGTATTATTAGAATGTAATTTTCATTGACATCTAAAAAAGTTATGTAATTACATAATTTGTGACTTGTAATGCATTACTTTACTAATTTCATCAAAAAGTAATCTAATTACATAATGCATTACTTCTTAGATAAAAAATATCTGTTTACCTATGTTTCTTTACTCGTAACATTGCATGTTACTTGTAATGCATTACTTGTTAGATCAAAATTAATCTGATTATGTAATGCATGTTACTTGTAATGCATTTTCAAAAAGTAATCTGATTAAATAATGCATGTTAGCCTACTTGTAGTGCATTACTTGTTAGATCAAAAAGTAATCTGATTATGTAATGCATGTTACTTGTAATGCGTTTCTTTATTCGTAACAACAAAATGTAATCTGATTACGTAATGCACATTGCTTGTAATTAATTGTTAGATCAAAAAGTAATCTGAGTAGGTAATGCATATTACTTGTAGTTGTAATACATTACTTTACTTGAAACATTAAAACAAATCTGATTATGTAATGCATGTTACTTCTAACACATTACTTTCCTTGTAACATCAACCAAATAATCTGAATGGGTTATGCCTGGCCCAACACTGCTCATTTCAGATGAGATTTAAAAAAATGTATCAGTAGGTTTTCTCAGAAGAGGGGCTATGCTAGAAATGTGTCCATCTCTAACATAATCGGAATTATCAGCTAATACGGGTAAATTGACATACTCTGGCACACTGGAGGGAGCATCTGAGTGTTTCCACAATTGTACATTGACAGGCTGTAGACATTTCTGATGGAATCACATCATCATGTTCTGATATCCAAGATACACGAAGTGCAACTTGTATGCAGGTCAATTGCCTTTGCAATATTTCGGATTTATATATATTTTTTTCATATATTTTATAGTTTTCATATGATTTGATGTAATTGTATTGATTAGTTTGTTAAATACACATAATTTATCTGTTTGATTATTGTATTATGTTTAATACAGTATCTCTTCAGTTTAAACTATAAATGCATGCTGTCCACTCAAGTGGACATCTGAAAATCTCTTTGAAAAATTTGTTTAAAAAAAAAAATCAAATCTTGTTTTTCATGCCCTAAGGGCAATAAAAACACAAAGGAAAAAAATCCTGACTGAGGTTATCATAATTAATGCATGAAAGGGTTAAACTCAGAACCATAAATAGGGCTATACTGCCCTCTTGTGTCAAATTATATTTCTATATTTATTTTTCCAACAAATAAAACCAAACCTGCAATAATAAAACCCCGTCCAAGCAGTGGCTCAGTTGATAAAGAGTTGGGCTTTAATTAAGAAGACCTGAGTTCAATACTTGCGTTAATTTGTTGTGATTATATCAAACAAAAGTGGCCTAAACAATATTTCTTCAACCCGGTATCGTGACAAGACGTGAAATAATCACTTTGGTGCACTTTTGAAAACGCGTAGATGTCACTGTTTAAAACCCCTCAAAAGTGAAACTTACACTTAAACTGAAACTTACCTATTGGTTTTCATTAAACTGAGAAAAATGGAATTTTGTTTTATTGACGATCACTGAGAAATGGTCAAATATTTAAAATGCAAAAAACATTTATTATTTTCAAGGTGAACAGGATTCATTTGCCTCGATCCACGCTGAAAAAAACGTCTTAATGTCACAGTTTTAATGAAGCAGCCTATAGTCCACTTTGGAAAATGTGTAGATGTCACGGTTTAACCCCCTCAAACGTGAAACTTACCTCTGCCATAACGACCTATTGGTTTTCATTAAACCGAGAAAATTGAATTTTGTTTTATTTACAATCACTGAGAAATGTTCTATTATTTAAAATGCAATATATATATATATATATATATATATATATATACACACACACACACTTTTATACACATACACACCAATACATTTTGATTACAAAAAGTATGTTTTAAACTTTTAAAAATCACAGCTTCATCGCGATGTTACAAAACTTGGTGACTTTTATGGCATTATGTGAACACAAAAAAATTGAGGTCATGATCTGAGCATGCTAAGTGGTCTTAAAAAAATAGTCACACTTGTGGTCTTTGGTCAAAAATGACCCCATAGGAAATGAATGGGAAAAACTATTTCTTATATATATATATATGAAGAGTTCAGACGCAAAAGCCTCTAAATGCCATTTGAAATTTTCTTCTTTAATGATGATTTTTATCAAACTTGTATATTTAAGTTCAGTAATTTCACTAAAATAACAATTAATAGGTAATTATCATTGCCATTTAAGTGAAATCACTGAACTTAAATATACAAGCTTGATTAAAATTATCATTCTAGAAGAAAATTTCAAATGGCACTTAGCTTTTGCATCTGAACTCGTCATATATATATATATATAATATATATATATATATATATATAATATATATATATATATATATATATATATTATATATAATGTGAATTTTTTTTATTTTTTTTTTACAAGAAATAGTTTTTGAGATTGTTTCAACTATATATACAAATCCACCAACAACAACAAAAAAATGTGTTCATAAACAGCTGGGGAATTCACATGCCTCTCCCAGCAGAGCTGTACATGCCATCTAGTGGTTACACCATGAGTCTACGCTTTTTCTCTATACTGTAACCAGATGGTGCTAATTTTCTTCCAAAAATATATTTTTTTTTCTGAAGGCCTAGACTCTATATTAAACTAAAATACTGCATTAATATTTTTTTGAGAATAATAATATATATATATAGAATATACATTCTCGCAACGTCATCAGCTGACAAACAGTCTCTCGCTTGTTATCACTGCTTACAGGTAAGTTTAGTCACAAAATCAAACGTTCCCGACACCCTTCTTACGTGTAATACGCTTCTGCTGAATATTTACTTTATAGAAATGGTTTTGTGTCTTCGAAAAAGTCTGTTAGCATCCGTTTTCAGAAGAGGTGAGTTAAGTTAACGTTACACTGGAGCTCTTGTTTTAGGCTATATAAGTTTAGGCTTTTAACCACATCTTTGTGTTGATAACAGTTTTTAATAGTTTTGTTTTGCTGGTAATTTGTTAATGGGTGATTGTAAGCTAATTTATTTAACCTAATGTGGAACCTGATTTTGGAAGTTTTTTGCATTTTTGGAAGTGTGGCACTTTATTTCTGTCATTGCTGTCTGTGTTCTGCGTTATTTTTTTGAGTCCAATGATTAATAAATATTTATTTATAGATATTTAAAAGATATCATAAATCCTCCAAAAACTGCACAAATGTTGAGTAAAAATATTAACAAACAGTAAAATAATATTTGTTAAAAAATATATATATAATATATATATATATATATATATAATATATATAATATATAATATATATAATATATATATATATATTGTTCAGTTACAAAATTAAATGTAATTTTTTGGGCTCCAATGGACCACGAAGACCACGAGTGTAACTATTTTTGCCACGCCTACATAAAAACAGACAGCATTCCATTTTTTTTTTTGTAGATCTAGAAAGTATTGAGAGCCGTAGGAAGTTTCATACCATTTTGGAAAAAGAGAACATTTTTTTTTTAATTCAAGCAAAAGTCATTTGGGGTCCAGTAGACCCCGAAGACAAGATGTGTGTGTGTGTGTGTGTGTGTGTGTGTGTGTGTGTGTGTGTATATATATATATATATTATTTCTCTTTTCTGCATTTCACCTCTGCTCTAGCTTGCTTCCTTGTAATAAACCCTATGTTCTATTGCATATCCTTTGTAACATTGTTGGCTCTGTGACATATTGCATGTTATGTTCTAGATTCTAGAAGATCATCATGCTTGCTGATGGCCTGCTGCACTCCCTGACCAAGACAATCTCCACGGCTATGAACTTGACTAGTAAGCAAAACCTCAAACATACAGTGCACTACTGTTCAAAAGTTGGGGGTCTGGAGGATTTATGCTTTTGAATGAAGTCTCACTCTTTCAATTTTTTTTCTGTGAGACTGTACTTGAGAAGCCTGTAGGCTAAATAATCAGCTAAATAATCGGCGGCAAATGTTATAATGGTCATAGTTATAATAATTAATTTAACTATTATGATAACAGGATATCACATAGTCATTGGTATATTTTATTTTATTTCTCCAGGTGTGTTTTTAATTATGTTGGCCAATGAGACAGGCACCATACTGTCCAACGCAAAGGTATTTATTTATTTGATGTGTTTTTTTTTACTGATAAATACTGAAATTCTTTAATTCAGGGGATCTTAAAGTTATGGCTATGCTCTTGTTACCAGATAGGATAGAGTCATTTGACTCTGTGATTCTTCAGGACAAGATCTTGATGCCATCCACACTCAGTACATGACGAAGGTGAGTTTCGCAATTGCTGCCATTATCACAAATCAAGAGACAGAACACAACAGGCCTTCTTCCATATGAACTCACCCATATGTAGGAATGGGTACCGAAACCCGGTGTTAAATGGGCCCAGGGTTCTGTTGTCAATCCGCGTTCGCGGGTCCGCAGTGACGCTGCTGACGTGTGTCTGGTGTGTCCCGTGTATTCGGCTTCAAATAATTAGAGGAGGACTTGCATTTATCTTGCCCAGCCATGTGTCTAAATCCTTAGACATCCTTAGAACCCAGATTTGTTTTGTTTACAGCGTGCGTCTCCCTCTGACTGTAAACGAAGCTTGGGAGCACCAGACACACGTCAGCAGTGTCTTGCGTCAGCAGAGCCACTGAACGCGGATTGACAACAGAACCGGAAGACAATGTAATGCTGAATAAAGTCGCAGTTTTTGTTATTTTTGGACCAAAATGTATTTTCGATGCATCAAAACATTCTAACTAACCCACCGATGTCACATGGACTACTTTGATGTCTTTATTTCCTTTCTGGACAAGGACAGTATACCGTACATACATTTTTAATGGAGGGACAGAAAGCTCTCGGACTAAAATATCTTAAACTGTGTTCTGAGGATTACGAGCCAATGAACCAGTTTTAGTGCGGTTTAGCACCATTTCTTAATGGTTGTTTTCTCCAACACTAGATGGCGACAAAAACGTTCTGCATTTAATTCGTATGCCGCTAAAATTCAAAAATTCAAATTTTTGTTAGTAAGATTAAAAACCGACATTTCGTAGTTCACAGTACTAATGTTTATTTTTTTCCAGTAATAAATACGCTGCTAATATTTACCAATTAAAAAAATAAATAAATGTTGGTACCTACCATGTTGAGCGTTTCTCTACAGGACTGTTCTCAACTTGGCTATTACATGTCTCAAATAAAATTAATTTGTACAAAGTATCAGACCTTCCCATTATGTATGTTTCCAGGACTGTCCTCTCAGTAATAAACTAAATTTTCTGTGAAGCAAAATGATGTGTATCTGGAATCTTAAAAAAAGCTAAAACTATCAAACACAAATGAATTGTTTCCAAATTATAAAATTCAGGACTAGGTATCTTGGTGATAATATACTACAAAAACATTTTACTACGCATGAAAAAAAAAATACAAAATAATATTGTAACAGTTTCATGTATGGTGCATAAATGTAATAAAAGGATAGAATAAAGGTGATTTTAAATACAAGAGGCAAATAACCTAAGAAACATTACGCCCATACTACGAGTACACTAGACCCAAAGAGGAAAAAGAGAACGGTTTCATACAAAAGAGGGAGCTTTATTAACAAATAACAAAACACAGAAACAAGTGAACAAATTGCCATATGTTGATAAGCGAGTGTTTAATGGCTGATATTCATCTCACTGTCCTCATCATCCTCTGTGGAAAAAGAGGAGAAGCAGACCGGCTCACACTCTAAAGTGCGCAGGTTCACAAGACAGGCTGTCTGTGTGCTGCTGAACTCTGGGATTGCTAACAGGAGAACATCTTGTCCTTCAGGTCCTGAGAGAGACGAAAACATATTGATAAAGCATGGCCACACTGTTACATAGTGTTGTTTTTAATATTATTAAATAGTCTTCTATTCACCTGTGAGTCGTTTACATTGGTAGCTTGGTGCATTCCCGCAAAAGTACACGTGGGGGCATTCTTCCAATATAAAGGGATCTTTCTGGTAGAATGGGTAACAACCTAAAGGGTCAATAGAACAGAGTAATCTAGCATTAATCATGATGCAATATACAAAATATATGTAATATAACATATATATATATATATATATATATTATATATATAATATATATATTATATATATATATATATACATATATATATATATATATATTATATATATAATATATATAATATATATATATATATATATATATATATATATATAAATAGTCAGAGAAACGAGTGTGTCCAGACCCAGTGTGTCCGGTGCGGTGGGAGCCAGGTGACGGAGTCTCAGTGTGCTCTCTAATATTTCCAGATGATCGTCCACACTGCTGTACTTCACAATATCACTGACATTCTGTCCTGCTGTGCCCAAGAACCTGAAACCACAAAACGGTCACTGTCATGTACACTTTCCACAAACACAGAATACAAATAAAGGCAGTTACTCACTGGACACCATCTACGACGGCCTGGTATGGGTTGCTGACCAGCTGCAGTGTGGGGAAGGGCACAGACAGCGGGAACATGCAGCGGTGCAGGGGCTGCTGGGGGAGGGTGTAGTTTGTTGGGTCATACTGTCCAGGCATGACATCCACAGGTACAGAGGCCTGTAGAGGACAAACCATATATTAAAGGCACTTGGAACAAATGAAAAGCCTCATTCATTATGGAATGCCAAAGCTGACTCAATTCAAAAGAAATAAATATATAAATAAATGTACGAAGAAATGTAAAAAAAGCAAAAATACATAAATAAATATACAAAGAAATAAGTACAAATAAATGAGTATTTATACTTTTACTTCCATATTTAAGTATAATTGTATTTTTTCACACATATATTTACTTGTTTCTACATTTATTCATTTTCACTTTTATTTGTTTCCACATTCATTTATGTTTTTATGTCTACATTTATTTATTTCCACATTTATTTATTCCAACATTTCTTCCTCCGTATGCTATAGACCTTTCTCACAACTTCCGTATTTGTGACCGGAAATACGCAATTGTCGTGGTAAACTTCTTCCGCTCCATTCATAACAGATAGCGCCGAAGGCAACTAGTGAGAGTTGTTGCGTACCGATCTTTTTTGTTATTCCCAAAAGCAGCCATACCTGTCGTTTTCATTCCTTCCCTCGTCAGTTCCCTGTCGATGAAGTCCGACGGAAATGGATTCAGGCAATCTGGCGGGATGTTATTGATCCTGTGATCTTCTGTACTTCTCATGTCACCATTCACTAATAAGCCGTCATTGTTTGTTTATTTTTTATGTTTTATGATTTGCGTATTTTTGAAGTAACGTTAGTTCATGTTCAACTGTATTAAGATATTTGTATCCAGCGGAATAAGCACATAAAATATACACCACAATATAAAACAAGATAAATAAGAACACACAACAGTGGGCTACATATAAATTTAAAATATTAATATATACCATTCTGAGTATTTAACAATCTGAGTGTACAAGGAATAAATTAATATTTGTATAATTTTTCTTCTTTGATCGTTCTATAGCAACAGCAGTGCAAAAAATTCGGGATAACTGTTGAATAAAACTGACAGACTTCTTTCTGGTATTCACATCAAAATGTAGTTTATTGTAAATAATACTCCCTAAATATGAATAACTTTCCACACACTCCACCTTCTTACCTTTAATTAACGTATATTGGGAAGAATGAGCTTCAGCTCTAAAATCAATATCATATCTTTGGTCTTAGATAAATCAGCTGCAGACAAGCATCACCACAGCATTTTACAAAGTCATCAACAACTGGACCATGACAAGTTTACATTTTTTCGAAGTTTTGAAGACTCTCTGATCAATTTTCTCCTCCCAGAGTAGGTTTTTCTGATGTGTTAACAGTTGACGGGAACTCCGTTTCCACAACGATTACGTATTTCCGGTTTTTGTGAAAAAGGTCTATTGAGGGGGGCATGTTTTAACTCAGACATCAGCAATCGAGCTCAGAGTGGCAGTGTTTTATCTAAGAGCAGAATCTATGAAATATCAAGCTATCAGCCCTATCCACCGCGTTTACATTGTTATTAATAGTGGATACTTTCACATGCTTTCATGTCCAAGCATCTGCTATCAGACCCGTTGAAGTGCAGTTTCTGTTCATGTGTGCTATGTGTGTTAACCCTATATAGCCTAACCTACATAGGCTACAGTTAGGGTGATGCGAATGATTTAAAATGTGATATTGCCTGCACAGCTCTTGAGTTTCGTTTGGTCACACACCACAAGGTGTCACTAAGGCCTCAAAGCTTCAGCACTGCCACTCTGAGCTCGATTGCTGATGTCTGAGTTAAAACACGCCCCCCTCATTAGCATACGGAGGAAGAAATGTTGGAATAAATAAATGTGGAAATAATTAAATGTAGAAATAAATAAATGTGAAAATAAATAAATGTAGACATAAAAACATAAATACATAAATGAATGTGGAAATAAATAAATACATATATGTGTGAAAAACGCAATTATACATAAATATGGAAATAAAGGTATAAATACTCATTTATTTGTACTTTTTTACATTTCTTTGTATATTTATTTATGTATTTATGTATTTTTGCTTTTTTACATTTCTTTGTATATTTATTTATGTATTTATTTATTTTTAATTAAAGGTATAGCGGAGGATTTTCTTTTTGCGGGTGGGTAGCCTATATTATTGGTCCACCTAAGTGTCAATCATTCTGGTGATATGTTTATGTAAGGCCGTCGTACGTGCTCGTCCCTATGTAGTTATCACTTTCAGGTGTATTATGTGTGATGAGTTACGATTTCAGCCATTCCTTTGAAAATGGCTGAGGGTCGAAAGAGAAAAAATGTATACGAAGTGTATGATAAGAAGAGAAAGGCCACAGAATATAGAAACAAGACCAGAGTGATTTTGGGTGAATATTTCACACGCTGGCGTGCGATAAAAGCACAGGTTGGGTTTCCCACTGATGCCGCAGTCGCGAAGATTCTACTAGACAGGTAAAGTTTGTCATGCTATTTGGAGAAATCCATTTAAAATCACTGCTAGTAAAAGTTAATGTAAGCTATGATTAGCGATGCTAGCCCTGGCAGTAGTCATGCACCGCATAGACACTGTAAACATCTCAATTTGTCTAAAGTAGCCTTTTGACCAAATGGTAAATGGTATCACGCTGAAATATTCTAAAACCTTGTGTGTTCATTTTCGACAATTCCAATGTGTTAACCATAGTATTTATTACAAAAATGCAACAAGCTACTTCTCCATTGCATATCATGTCTTGAGTCCTCCTCGGTCACTCAATCGATCAGTATAATAAGTAAATAAAACACGGAAGGGCATTTTGACATTTTGTCTTTTTTATGATTTTTTTTTTGTTCGTTTATAATTTGCAACATGATAGTGCAAGGCGTAATAGGCGTTCCCTCTCGGGAGCAAATGTGCATGTGCATTTAAAAAAAAAAATTGGAGAGGGCGGGTCTTCTCTAAAATTCGGAAAGATCCTCCGCTATACCTTTAAGTCAGCTTTGGCATTCCATAATTCATTACCAATTTAACAGTATGACAGCCAGTCTAATCCCACCATGTGATCAGAGAACAACTAAGAGCTACGGGACCTTGTCCTATAAACTTGACATATGGAATAAATGTAGGGCCCTATAAAATCCGTTTTATTTTTTCCCAAATTCCGTTTTTTTCTGTTTTAATTTTTGCAAATTCAGTTTTTTCCGTTTTAATTTTTGGGAATTAATTATTTTTTTTACCCTTTACTGTTATTTTAGTTGTAAAAAGAGCTTTTAATGTTAATGATTAAAATGTACACAAATAAAATAAGCATTTACTCTTAAAATGACAAATACTGCATGATGCAACATAACACTGCACTCTAAGTACTTCAAGTAACAACAAAATATGGTTATGAGCTTTAAACGGTCCTGTAAAATAAATTATACTAGTTTATATAAGTTAAAATAAAAGTCACACTCTAGCTGCGTCGTAATGTGCATACTATCCATCCTAAATAGTATGTGACATTAATAACTGTCAATACTATTTCGGGCATAGTGTGCACATTGGGACGCAGCTTTGCGATTGTCTCTCACGCGCACTGTCGAGCGCTGTCTCGGACACACTCGGTCTCTCTCGCGCGCACTGTCGAGCGTGCTGTCTCGTCTCTCTCGCACGCTCTCGACTCGGACACACACACTCGGAACGGCACCTCATAGACAGACGTGCACGGAGGGAACTTTGTGTGTGTGTGCGACGAGTTTCTTAACTTTTTCGCCGACGAAAGCAGAGCCGTGGAGAGCCGCTTCGCCATGCTTTCAGTGGAAACGCGGCTATTGTTTTGATGCCGTCATGAGCTGAAATGACGGAAGGGGTTGTGTCGCCCAGATTTGCTTCCCCGTCTCTCTGCATTTTCCCCAGACATACGTTCTTCTCCCACACAAAAAACGAATTTCATTCCAAATATGTAAAATTCCGTGTTAACACTAGATTCCGCGTTAATTGGCCAATTCCGCGATTGTGGAAATTATAGGGCCCTATAAATGAGGGAGAATATATGTCGGCTGGTCCTAAATCAGGCCCTTAGTCATTTTGGTCCTTCACAAACACTCACCACTAACTGAACTAGAAGCTCATCCAGCAGTCTGATAGCCTCCACACTCCCAGCCTGAGTCTTCTTAGTCAGATACTTTGCCTTCAAATAGAAAACAGTTTGATTGAAAAGACGTATTCACTAAATGTAATTGAATTCAATTAGCACTGCTTGGACCCTAAGTCCAATTTGCACACCTTAGTTGTTGAGTCTTTGTCCTGAGTGCTTTGACTCAACAGGTTTCCAGCTAATATGACTCTCGAGATGGAAGCCACTCCGCTCTGCTCCCCCTGGTCTCCGAGCTGACCGGTTACCATATCAACCAAAAGCTGCAATCCCATCATGCTGTCTGCTTTGCTGCCGTTCAATCCCAGGCCAGAGGCAAGAAGAACAAACCTAAAATGAAATTGCAAAGGTCATGTGTGTACCACTTTAACAGTAGGAATGCAATATAACCAATATCTAAGATTTTTTATTTATTTATATATCGAGTTTGTATGATATTTTGAAATATTTTAGAAATGATATAGGCAATACAGTTTATATCGATATACAGTAATTTGATATTACGAGCGCGTCTGAACGACGCAGAACGAGCTGCAGCAGTGAAGTGCATAATTCATTTTCTCCTAACCATGAGACATGCTTACGGAGGCGTATTGCATTCACTTGAAAAAAAAAAAAAATCTACTCTGTTTTTCTGAATTAATGAGTTAATTTTTCATGAGAAAAAAAAATTTGCTCTGTTTTTCGGAATTAATGAGTTAATTTTTCATGAGAAAATTTTTTTTCTCTGTTTTTCTGAATTAATGAGTTAATTTTTCATGAGAAAAAAAAATTCTCTGTTTTTCTGAATTAAAGAGTTAATTTTTCATGAGAATTTTTTTTGCTCTGTTTTTCTGAATTAATGAGTTAATTTTTCATGAGAAAAAAAGTTTTTTTCTGTTTTTCTGAATTAATGAGTTAATTTTTCGTGAGAAAAAACTTTTTTGTTTTTAGGTTCATTTTAGGTTTGTTCTTTCAAAAAAAAATTCCATGAAAAATTAACTCGTTAATTCAGAAAATAAGAGCAAAAAAAAAAAAAATCCATGAAAAATTAACTCATTAATTCAGAAAAACAGAGCAAAATATTTTTAAGATCGTTCGATACTTCCATTCCAAAATTCAGAGAGACTAGCAATAGCAAGTTAGCTTTGAAAACATAAGATCCCACCCTCCCTTCAGAGCGTCTCCAAAGCCACAACTTCTCCAAAACACACACAGTGCCACAGCAGAGTCTCCAAAGCGTCACGAGAGACAGTGTTAAATAACCTCAAGTCTCAAAACACATAACATTACAAAAATAATGCAGGTAAACAACTTAGAGCTCTAGTTGTACCACCTGACTACAGCAGATTCATTTCAGAGTTGGTAAGAGTTTACATAGAAAAAACGCATTAATCCAAGTAGAACGTCCTGGTTTGCCATCTCTAAATTAAGATAGTTATGGAACGCAGTTGTTTTGCTTCAGGAGGAACAGTAAATATGGCTGCTGTTTGTTTGTGGCCCTCGGTGTCTTTGACTTTATGCATAACCTCATGTAACATGCTGATTCAGACCTAATGCAATGATTCGACGGACATTTTTTTTTTTTGGTCCATAGACTTCCACAGAAGATATATATGTACTGTATATGTTTGTAATATTTAGACCACTTCTATTATTAATTGCTATCAAGATGTGAAGAGAGTTTCAACCACTATAACAAAAAGTGTTTATTAATTAAACATTGCCTACCCTACCTTTATTATTAGTCATAATAACATTTGAGTAATTATCAGTTTATCATATTTACACCATGACTAAACACAAATGTCCTGCTCTTGAGTCAGTCAGGTCAGGTGTGTGTTTCTGTACCTGTCTGAGCTGGGAGGCTGTCTGGGTTTCTGTGGAGGAAGATCAGCCATGCAGAAGTCTTCAACTGTGAATTTCCCATCATTTTTCTCAGCGCCCATGATGGCAATTACACTCCCTGGAAATACAATTTCATTAAAAAGCAGGAAAATTGAGAAGCATGAGATGGGTATGTTTATCTTTCTATATGTCTCCCACCTGTTACAAACTTGGGTGCGTCAATGTTGCCCTCCAGTTTAATCCTCTGAAGTTCATCCTCCAAAATAAGCTCATCTGATTGGCTGATGTATTTGGAACGAGGCGGCTGGGGCAACAGATTGTGCTAAAGAGAGAAAAGACATGTTGAAGAGATAGTTCACCCAAAAATGAAAATTAGCCAATGATTTACTCACCCTGTGGTGTATATGACATTCTTCTTTCAGATGAAAACAATCGGAGTTATATTAAAAATGTCCTGGCTCTTCCAAGCTTGATAATGCAATTGAAAGGGTATACTTTATTGGAAGTCCATCAAAGCACATCCATCCATGATAAAAGCGCTCCACACGGCTCTGGGGGATTAATAAAGGCCTTCTGAAGTGAAGCGATGTGTTCATGTGAGAAAAATGTCCATATTAAAAACTTTACTGACTAAAATAAGTAGCTTCCGCCAGACACATTGATTTACGGCAAAAGATAAACACTTGAAGTTGGCGCACAACGTAATGACGAACGCGGTTGTCCAGCACTGATTGTGAACCGTGAGAGGCATCAAAGCTTACGCTACTCCTACATCACGTCCTACATCGTCAAGTGTTACTCTTTTGATGAGTAGAGTGTTACTCTTACTCGCAAGTCGACTTATGTACAGCCGTCTGCTGAAAGCTAGTTATTTTAGTTGATAATGGAAATTTTTCATATACTAACCACTGATCTATATAGAATTTCATTATATAGATCAGTGATACTAACGCATCACTTCGCTTTAGAAGGCCTTTATTATTAATCCCCCAGAGCAATTTTGAGCACTTTTATAATGGATGGATGCACTTTGATGGACTTCCAAAAAATATACCAATTCACTCCCATTAGAATGTTTGGAAGAGCCAGGAATTTTTTTTTATATAACTCAGGTTGTATTCACCTGAAAGAATGTCATATACACATAGGATTATGGGGTATAGGGTTCCATTTGTGCCGAAATTATGTCGATATGCTGTCTGTCTATGCTATGTGTCGTCTTCCATGTTTATGTGTCATCCAAATGGAACCCCATAAACCATTGGCTAATTTCCATGTGTGTGAGAACTATGTTTAAAAGGGAAGACCAAAAAATGGTTGTATCATGCAAGTTTAACCTCCTCGCTGATCTCCTTCAGGATGGATGGCTGCAGCTCCATGTGTTTGAATATGGTGCCCACTATTATACACTGTTCACCCATCTGCAGGTCACACAGCTTCCTGATGGGCACGACACAACCTGCCACACGCACACACATCCACTCATGTTTAGAAGCGCTTCAGGGGAAACACGAGCCTGTCAATGAGTTCACGGATGTTTCTCACCCCACTTCTGCGTGGCTCTGTCCCTGAGGATGTTTCTCATCTGCATGAGTCTGGTGGCGTAGATGTGCGCGTACTGGCGGCTGAAGCTGCGCTCGCCGAGGCGGAACCGCTCCGAGCAGCCGTTGTATGAGGGCTGGTGACGGTCAAACACGAGCTCCTCGGAGCCTGGAGGACACAGCAACGTCTCCTTTGGCACGATCACGTCTGAGAACATGACTGGAGAAAGGTTGTGGACGCTAAATTAGCCACTGAGCAGCTGTATGTATAAGACAATGCATTAAAAGTCGTCAGAGTTGTCATCCTGCTGTATGCTAACAGCACAGTAGCTTCACTTTAACGTTACCTTATTCCTTGCGGTGTTGGTTTTCTACTGTATATTGTAAATTTAGTTTAATTCGATGATAAAGTACATAAAAAAACAAAAAATCAGACAGATCTCGTCTGTGTTGATTTTTGGTAACTCCCGCTAAATACGTGACCTCTGACCTCTATGGAAATATGACGCGACCTCCGCTAAAATACGCTTTCATAATAAAAGCCACCGGAAATAAAGAACGATCTGCGTTTAGTTATGGGACTGTTGCGTTTTAGACGTATTATTTACATTTTACATAGAGCATTTAATATTTCATGATTACTTAAGACCATTTTAAAAATTTATGCCCACCAAAATTACTATAATTTAAAGTAACTGTCAGCATTTACAAGGGAAAACAAGAGAGTATGACCACATAACATTACTTATTGAAATTTATTAGGTAACGTTACATTATCCTAAGGTACAGTTTATGCGTTTAATATGTATCCCACAAAATGTGATGTTTCAAATTTGCAGATATTTATTTTACATTATCCTAAGGTACAGTTTATGCGTTTAATATGTATCCCACAAAATGTGATGTTTCAAATTTGCAGATATTTATTTCACACAATCACTTCAATGAAATGAAGTGCAACTAAAACAGTCTACAAGCGATTTGCTAGAAGACTAATGCCAATGTTAAATGTGCTGTTATTTAATCATTCATGCACTGAATGTTAAACACATTGGTACAACACCACAATACACAGATTACTTTGCATTACAGTTTTTCAACAGAGCACAGCACAAGTCCTGTGAAGTGTACAAATGTAGCAGGATTATAAGCACAATAATAAATGCGGAAGATTTGAACAGAACAGAAAACATGAGCGATCTACTTCTTCCTTCCTCCTCTCTCCTTAAGGGCCAGATGGATGACGGAGCCATTATTCATGTTGTAATATGCCAGAGAGTTGGAATCTTTGATGAAAATACCCTGGAGAATCAAACACAATATGAGATCTTGGTTTTCAAAGTAAATACTTTTATATTAGCATTCACCATTTGTATAATTAATACATTTTAAGATTTAATTAAACCAAAATATTTTACCTCATATTGCAGCTTCTGCTTTCCAGCCGGCATACCAGTGGCTTCATGGATCTTAACCTTGATGACAGATACCTGAGACACACAATGGCAATAAATTAGCTCAGATTTTTTCAGTGATTAAAAATATGTACAGACACTGGATAGGCAAAGTCTTTACCTGGTCTGTGAGAGGCAGGTTGAAGTTTAGCACTTGGCCACTCAGCTTCCATTCAGTCTTGTCCTGCATGTTGGGCACTTGCACTTTGACTGCAACAGGTCCCTAAAAGAGAGCAAAGATCAAATGAAAAAGATTAACAAATGTAATAGTTATAAAATATTCATTGATCCTACTAAGTGCACTCAGATTATGTTGCAGCAGTGTTGTACCTTGGTCCTGCGCAGGAACTCGTCTTCTGGAATCAGGTTGTCCTCGGTCTTCATTTTCTTGCTGGAAGGCTCGTCCTCGTGAGGAGGTGGAGGATGAGCAGGAGGCATGGGGGCGGAAACAGAGCTAGGAGGTTGAGGCACAGGGGGAGCGGGGACAAACCCTGAAAAACAAAAACAGTTTATTCACTACAACAAAATTATTATTAATATACTTGAAGGTACATTATGTAACTTTTTTTTGTCCAAAAGTAATTTAAACAATGAGTCAATAGATCAATCCTTCTTCCAAAATGAGTTTCCAATCCTGCTTCACTATGGTCACTTAAGCCTATTATAAGAGTTTAACAGAGGCGAGTTTGCTGGCGAAATGGTAAGGCAACATTTGGCTTTTCGAAGATGGTAAAATATGGATTTGAAATGCGAATGCGAATGAAAAGCGATATGGAGATGGCATTATTATAACTCAACAGGCAAGTAAGGTACTTTTATTGAACAGATAAATTTCACAAATTTCCAAAGAATGATCTACTGTGAAGGGTCATTTCATTATGTTTTTTTGTAGCGTTGTGCTGGTGTTCATTTCTTTAAAGGAAGTACCGTGTCTATTAAAGGATGCCGTCTATCATCCTATTAAAGGATACTGTGTCTATCATCCGGATGCCGTCACAGAGCCGAAGCACAACCAAAACAACGTTCTTCCCCAAAATGCATGCATTTAGAGGGCAAAAGTTACATAGTGTACTTTTAATATTATTTAATTATTATGAATAAATTATTATTTTCCAAGTAGCTTTTTATTATTATTTAATTTATTTATAAATTTAATTCAAATGATTTACATATAACACTTTAACATAATACATAAAAAAGCTTAATAAAAGTATAATTACTGATGTGAATTTCTTGTCTTTAAATTACATTTTAGAACAATGCACCAATAAGCTACATAGTTACAACAAGAAGTTACAATAGTTATTTCAGTAACAGTAATTTCAGAGACTCACCAGCAGGGACCACCATAGGCGGAGGTCTGGGTGCCATAATATGTGGTCCAGAGGGTGGCATGGGCACCACATTGATGCGTGGGGCGTGGAGCATGGGTGGCATGGGAGCCAGAACTTGTCCAGGGCCCAGACGCACCACAGGGGAAACTGGAGGTCTAGGTATAACAGGCACAGCAGGAAGCAAAGTGGTCCGTACTTGGGGCGCCATCTGGAATATAAACAAGAGCCTTTGGTTACTTAGGATTAGCACTTTTATTTTTGTGTTCGACAATCACAGTGATCTTGGAAAACTCTTGAACGCAGAAACAGATAGAGACTCACGGGTCTGGGCATGGTGTTGATTGGTGGGGTGGGTTTGGGCATGCTGGAGGCTGATGATGGCATGGGCGGCTGAGGCATCTCATTGGGCTTGCTCGGGCCGATCTTCTCTTTGGTGTCGTCCTCCTGCACCAGACCTTTAGCTTTGTGGATGGCTTCGATCTGCTCCTGCAGGGTGATGTTAGCCTGAGCCGCCTGCTGGGTACGAGCCATACTGCCTGAGTGACCGTCCCATGTGACCTACGGAAAAAGTGGAAATGGTGTTAGTTGAACACTACTACCTTCTGGTATACTTGTGATTCTCTGCAGTCAAAACAGAGAGAAGACAATAATCATGACTTTTTTATGAAATGAAAGTACTGTTTCAGTAATATTTATATATATATATATATGTTAAATATTTATTATATAATTTTGTGTTACTTTTCTTATTTGACTAGGGTAGACAGTTCTCTTAGGTCTAAAATAATAAAAAATCCTACTGAATTAAATGTGACCCATTTTAGTCAACCCAATATAAAAATAAAAACCTAGTTCTCAAAACCTAGTTGAGTCCAAGTTCGCGGTTTATTATGAATAACATCAATAACTTTCACAAACTTTAAGCAGTACAGCTTAACACTTTAGAAAATAGATTTTTGAAATTTGCAAATTGACGCAAATCAGTAGAAGAATCATGATTTATATATGATCCGCACACCTACCATTTAGTCCTTTCTGAACCCCAAAGGATACTTATAGCGTCCGCATGACAATTTACGGTGCACAGCACAAACAACAGCGCATGCACAAGGTGAATGTTGAGAAAGAAGTATTGTTGTATTGTGCAGTCTTCTTACCTTCTCCTCAGGCTTCTGTATCTCCTCCTCTCCGATCTTCTTACCGATGGCCGTTTCTTCCACACCAAAGATATCGGTACGTCTCTCGGCCAGCTGCTTCAGGCTGCTCTCGATGTCCAGGCCAGGAGCGTACACCTCCTCCTCGATCCGACGCTCTCTGATGTTGCGGTCGCGCTCCTCCAGCCAGCGGGGATCAAGCAGGCCGATGCGCATGTGCTCCTGCATCTTACTGGCTGGGATCTTCTCACCCGTGATGGGGGAGATGAGGTACTCATCAGAGGAGGCCATGGGAAGCAGGGACTTAGAGGCTGAGGAGAAGATGAGATGGAAAGTGAGTGGATGCAAAAAAATATGGGCCATTTTAGAACGATAAAGTGAGTTTTATATATGCGCTCACCCTTGGGGTCGTAGTCTTTGCGAATGATAACCTGGTCTGGGGTGGGGGGAAGAGGTGGTGGCATGGGGTTATCAGGGGGTAGAGGAGCTTTCATGCCATCATCCTCTTCATCAGAGCCCTATTGAGAGGAACAGCAGATGCTAATCAGTCAGAGTAATAGTTAACCCACTTCTACAAACTCCTCATCGATGGCATTATGTGAACATAACCCTGGTTGTCTCTCACCTCGTCCATGTCCTGCAGCTGTGTGTCCTGGTCCAGGTGAGCTGCGTGTCTGTCCTCCCTGCCCCCTCTCTCATCCTCTTCATCTTCACTCTCTACCTCCATCTCCACCTCCTCACTCTCTCCAAATTTCTCATAGCGCTCCTGGATCAGGATACGAGCGCCCAGCTCCTCAGGAGTAGTGGGAGGAGGGAAATTACCTGTAAAAAAGTATTAATAATGATGATGATAAAAAAATAACATGAATAATAATTAATTTAACATAAATCATGTAATTGTCTAATTAAACCACATTTGAGATTGAAGAAATGTCTTGCTATTACCAAAATCAAGAGATACATGTATTCTTCTGATACAATAGGATGATAGCGCAAACAAAAATAGTCAAATATCTAAAATCATGCTACTTGTTGTCAACTAAACATGCTCACCTTGCTCATTTGGTTGGAAGTCCACCGTCTCCACGACCACAAAGTCATGCCAGTCAATCTGAGCATAAGCCACTCTCTCCTTCTCTCGCTCCTCCTCTTCCTTCTTCCTCTCTCGTTCCTGGAATTTGGCCCACTCCACACGATATCTGACCTAAAATATTGGGGAAAGATGTGATGTTAGAGGTCAATCTGATCGGTCCTTCCCTTTTAAGATCTTACAAGTTTCAAAGCTCAGATTGACTCAACTTTATTGATACAGGACTAACTGAATTTCATGAACAACTACTTTGATGACATGTTATATTTCACAGCTTCAGTTCCACTCTCTGATTCACCATAAATTCCCTAATGTGGTTTTAAATCACCGGCATACACTCAGTTATCCATTTTCCACCAGAATGGTTTGCATTCTGGAGCCAGAATCTGTTCTCGGCCAGTCGAACTGGAGCCTGTCGTGAACAGTGCATGTGTTTCCACAGACTTGAGGAACAAGCGGTGACGTAA